TAGGGACTGAGCTGCACGTGAAGCTCATGCTCTACACCAGGCAGAACCCGCACTGTGCCGAGCTGCTCAACTCCACAGCCTCCAAGTACCTAGATGTAACCAAGAAAACCACCTTCATTATCCACGGATTCCGCCTCACGGGCTCTCCCCCGCTCTGGATCCCTGACTTGGTCCATCTGCTGCTGTCCGCAGAAGACATGAACATCGTCCTTGTGGACTGGAACCGGGGGGCAACCACGCTCATATACAGCAACGCTTCCAGAAATTGCAAGAGAGTCGCTGAGATTCTGAAGAGACTTATTGATGAAATGTTGGTAAGTTAGAGACATATAATATTATATAAAGCGCAATATGCAAAGGCCACAAGGAACTGTTTAAAGACAGGTGACGGCTGCTGATTTTCCACCTCTATGCAGTGGCTTTCCTGCTACAAGACAAACACACACAGAATTTACAGCCTTTTGTTTTCCCATGATCATCTGGATACAAAACCAGGATCTAAATATATTTATGGTTACTTGACTTCCACTTATTTAATATATTTGGCTATAAAGTTGACTTGAGTTTGCACTAAACATTTTTTTTAAGTTCTATTTATTTCATCTTGCCATTTTTCTCCCTTCATCAATGACCCTGGGTGTTCTTAAACCTCAGATCGCGGGAGCCTCACTTGACTCCTTCCACCTGCTAGGGGTGAGTCTGGGGGCGCACATCGCTGGCTTCGTGGGCCAGATGTACAAGGGCAAACTGGGCAGGATCACCGGTAAGTCCTCCCTTCCGCCGGGGCCACCGCCGCCCGGCGCTAAGCCGCGCCACACACCCGGTTCCGTGTTGCAGGCCTCGACCCGGCGGGTCCTTTGTACAGAGGCAAGGTGCCAAGCGAGAGGCTGGACCCCACGGACGCGCAGTTTGTCGATGTCATTCACTCGGACACCGACGGTGAGTGGCATTTTGCCTCCTTGCCCAGAGCCGCACGGGGARCACGGGGTAGCTGCCCTGGGGGCTCCCTTGCTCACTCCGCGGCCAGGACTCCCACCAGTGCCACCACCGTTTGCATCGCAGACACGCTGCCCTGCAGCCATTCAGCCCGGCACCTCCACGTGGCCATCGCGTCCAGAGTCCACAACCCCCGTGCTGTGGAAACAAGCCGAAGCCTCCAGGAATATATGGGCAAAAGGCATTACACGGGCACTCAAGAGCTAAATAACTGTTGTTTTATTCCACTTGGTTTCTTATGCTTCTCTTTTTCCTGTGTTTTATGGTTTAATAAACCCTTCCCTCCATATTTTCTTTCGTCAGGACTAGGTTACAGAGACACCCTAGGCCACGTAGACTTCTACCCCAACGGCGGCACTGACCAGCCGGGCTGTCCRCAGACGATATTTTCTGGTAATTAATTCAGCTCTGAATTGCAAAAACACTGACAAAATATTTCCGGTCAGGAGAAGGCCACAGAAGTACCATGACTGCTAGAAAATATATGAAAACAGTTTTCTGGGAAGGCACCAAAGCAATCCCTTCCCAGCAGCAACGCGGCACCCTGACACAAGAGGCACGGAGGTGATGAATATAAATAGGAACCTGTCCATAAATGCACAGGGAAAGGGGCTTCGCTTATTTTGCTGACCTTGGGACGTGGTTTATGTCTTTCTAAAGAGCTTTTTTACAGCAGAAATGGCAACGTTTTGTGCCAAAGATATGCAGTATCCCACAGTCATGCCTGGGCTTGGAGACAAGACAACATCTGAGGTGCAGTAGGATCTATAGCAGGAGCGTGGGGAGCTGCAGGAACAGCAGGACCAAAGACACTTTAAAAAATAGACTAGAGGAAGRGTAGACAATGGTAGGGCTGAGTGCACTAAAGGAAGAGCCTGGTGCCAATTTACAGTTCCACCACAGCCYGGCACTTCCCATTTTCACCTGCTCAGTGGCTGCCCATCGGTGCGTCCTTGTTGGTCAGTAAATTAACGTGTTTTCTTGAAGCATGAGGGTTGCTAATGAAGTATTTCTTCTCTCTCCGCGACTAAGGATTGCAGTATTTCAAATGTGACCACCAGAGGTCTGTCTTCCTGTTCATATCATCCCTGACGAAGAGCTGCAATATCACTGCGTACCCGTGCGACTCGTACAGGAATTACCGCAAGGGCRAATGCACCAGCTGCAAAACTTACTGGCCTTTGCCATGCCCCGTCCTCGGTAAGGAAGATGCCAAGTGTGAATCCAGGCAACGGGAATAYTCGTGTCTCAGGTAGCTGCCCACTCTGATTTTCAAGGTACAAGCCTCTCTGCAGGCAAAAGAGGTTTGAGATGTCCCCCTGCTCTTTGTATGGTCACATCCATGATAAYCCAGAGAGAAATCCACACACAAAGGATCTAGAGCTAGAGGAGCCACAGAAGGCGTCTTTGGGCAGAAGCCACAGGACCAGTGAACTGGGGTGAATTAGCTGCAGATTTTGAGGGATAAGAGCATGTTCCTGGTAAAATACATTTTTTTCTAAGAAGTTTTCAGCACTAGCCACTCCACCATGAGAGGAATGGCAGAGAGGTGAGTCTCAGAAAAGCAAAATGTGGCATCCCAGGCTGGGGGGACAGCACAGCTCCAGACCCTTCTGTCAGAAAATTTGATACCTGGCACTTCTAGAAATGAGCTTTTAAAGCTCAGCGGACTATTTTCATTCCGGACAACAAAAGCCTTCTTTACCAGAGCTAGGAGAGGTGAAGAAAGATGGACCTTAAAATCAGTGATGAACACTAACCAGATATATTTATACACAGAGTTGGCTTTAGTTACACAAGTAAAATTAAAATGGAGCAAGTCTACGGCACACGGGAGTATTTTTGCAGTACTACCTCGCGGCTGAAAAGCAATCCAGCATTCCTAAACACCTGCTTTACATTTTCACTCATTTAATTGCTTCTATGCCTGCACAACAAGCTCCTGCTTCCTGTCTGTGCTGTCACCTCCAGGTTATTATGCCAGTAGGTGGAAGAGCCATTTCACACAACCGAGTCCCCCGGGAACGAGCCTGTTTTTCGATACGTCGGACAAAGAGCCATTCTGCAGTGAGTACTGTTTGTAAAGTGGTTTTTGTGTCCTGCCTCGTTCAGCAACAGCAGAGGCGAGATGGGTAGCTGCTATTGGTGTCATTCCCAGGCTATAGTTCAGAAATAGGTGGCTACTGTCTGCCCATCTGCACTCCTGCTGTTGGAGATGGGCCAGGAGAGGAGCATCTTCCTTACCGTGCTGTCGCCCTCCCCTCGCAGTTTATCTCTACTTCTTGGATATTGTTACGTGGAACAAAGACACCAGGAGAGGCACCTTCAGTGTTCTGTTGGCTGATGAAACGGGGAGGAAAGCAGAATCCAAAGTCATTCCGTAAGTCTTACTGAGCCCATGAACTACAAACGGCAGCAAAGCCCAGCCCTGCGAGCCGTGACAGTACCTGGGTTTCCAGGCCAGCCGTGTTTGGGGTCTGTTGGGTCTAGTCCACGTGGTGCCCAAGCAGAATTGCAGTGAAGATCCTGCTTAGGGACCATGAGGCACCGGAGTGCTGCGCCTCACGAATACCTGGATCCTCCTTCCTCAGCAGTTTCTAATTCTCCAGGGAATTTGTGTCACCTTTTGTGTTTTATCCTTAGAGCAACTGCAGCTTTTCAGCGGTACAACCAGATCTCTCTGCTAATTGGATTTGACCAGGATCTCGAAAACATACAGAGAATTTCTGTGATGTTTTCCACCGGCTCCGTCATTGGCCCCAAGTTCAAGCTCCGGATCCTCCAAATGAGGCTACGATCAATTACCAATCCCAAAAGGTAAGCAGAGCACAGCAAGTCAAACTAGACAGAAGTGAGTGAGTGTTTGCAGGTCCTGGCCTAGCTGAGTCCAGAAGAATTACATTTATTTCGCACTTAACAATTCCTGCACACCTTGGGTATATCCTGCCTTTTGCACGTGCACACAAACCTCACAGTCAAACACTTATTTGAAAGCAAAATTTGCTTTCAGAAGTTGTAAAATGTGGTCTGGCCCTTTAGCCTTTGGTCAAGAAAGTAAGTTCTGACCTTAGATAAATAATAAGTTTCTTCACAGTGCATTGAGGGCTTGCCCTAACCTTGCTCCTCCTGGCACTCCTGCTTCCCAAGCATAGAGTGGAATGGAAACACACTGGAAGAACCTTCATCCCAAAGGCATTTCACACCATCTCAGGAGCCCACCATGTGCCCTGCAAACCACCCTTACTCCATAGAAACCTCCTGTGCGCTGGAAAGCTTCACTATGAAAAAAAAAAAAGGCAAATCTTTCATGCTGGGCTCTGTTTTTCGCTGCAGAGCTCAGCTGTGCAGGTATGACCTGGTGCTGCTGGAGAACACCCGGACAACCTTCCAGCCCATCCCCTGCGAGGCTGAGCGCTGACGCCCGGCCGGGCTCTCCCGCCACGGCGGGATCACGGCACTCACCTTCGTGCTTCTGTGCAGCTTCCACACAGACCGAACACCGGGAATGAGGAGAGCTTGGATGTTTTTCTGGAATTCCTTCCCCGTGGAGCTGGGAGGCAGATGGGCTGCAGGGCTAGCCACGCAGGGCTGGGAACTCGCGTGGCACTGCTGGGAAGTGTCAGGCGGAAATAAAACCTCCCGTTCCCAGGGGACTCGGTGTAAGGAGCAACAGGCACAAGGCACTAAGGGCTTAACGGTGTTTGAGGGGGGAAGGCATCGCGCCTGTGGGGACATGGGTCACCGTGAGCGGTGTCCTCACTAACGGGCGCTTACACACGGTGCCGCTGCTCCCAACAGGCACAGGCGGCGTCCCCGCCACCACGGCACCATCTCAGCCTTAACGGCCGCGCCCCGCCCCTAACGGCATCGCCCCGCCCCTAACAGTCACAACCACGCCCCTAACGGCCGCGCCCCGCCCCTAATGGCCGCCAACCACGCCCCTAACGGGCTCGCCCCGCCCCTAACAGCCACAGCCACGCCCCTAACGGCCGCGCCCGCCCCTAATGGCCGCCAACCACGCCCCTAACGGGCTCGCCCCGCCCC